TTACAATTTTACTAATAATTTAATATTTTAATTAATCTTAACCATGCTACACACTATGCACTTAAACTACACACCACATACTTGACCATTCAGTGTATGAATTTTTTACGACTTTGTCATCCAACACTGGAGTTTGATAGCCCCTCCCCTTCAGTTACATAAGGAAAGCTGTGACTGTTAAATGCATGAAGTGTTCAACAATCCAAACTATTTTTTTCTGTTAAGTAAGTAAATCAGCCTGGTTTTTGAAGAATGGAATAGAACTGGGCACAAGTACACAAACTGGGATGCATCTTGTTTTCATAAAATTAATTCTCAAGATAAAATAAGTATTGAATAAGTATTTGCAACACCATAGAGGTATCTTATAGATTTTAAGAATTAGAGGTAAAACTTCACAAAGCTACGGAAGTGGGCTCAAAACATTATAAAGTGCACGACTTCCACAAATGGACACTACAACACAGAATAACTAAGGTGGGCTTAGGTCAAGTATTATTTATAAAGAAAAAGAAAAATGTAATAAAACCAAACAGAGAATTAAAATAGCATTTAAAATAGCAAAGCTGCATGTTTACTTGGTGAAGCCAATAATGACTTCAGTCTCCATTAACTGTCTGGCTTTAATGTTAAAACACTTGCATAAATGTTACAGATATGTTGGCATGAACTTTTCTGTGATGTGAATGATAAAGAATGTTATGCTTAATGTGAACAAGTCTTAAAGGTGACATATCATGAAAATCTGACTTTTCCAGGGTTTAAGTGCGCGATAAACATGATAATCAGAACCAAAACAGATGTTTTTTTAGCAGGTCCGAGTTGTAATGGCGCAGCTCTATTCTGGAAAAGCAGCAGCTCATTTGCATTTAAAGAGACAGGCCCGAAAAACAGCGTGTTTCTGCTTCCACTCAAAATAGGCATTTTCAAAATGATATAATAAATGATCTGTGGAGTATTTTGAGCTGAAACTTCACAGACACCTTCCGAGGACACCAGAGACTTATATTACATATTGTAAAAAGGGGCATAATATGTCTCCTTTAAATGCACTTTTAGTATACAAATGTTTGCCAGCTGTTAAATCTGTTTAGTAAGTTTGAGTAAGCTGCCATCACTCACCTGGTAGAGCCACTTCCACTGGAAAGGAACAATGACCTTGATGAGACTGGCAATGATGCGGGTGAAATAAATATAGCATACAATCTGTGACACAGAAAGACACAGTAAGAAGAAAAGAGACAGAGGAGTGATACATTTGTGTTTCAATGTCTCAAATGACTGATCATTTTTAATAAAGACAAATTACCAAACACAATATACAGTGTGTTCTAGTCTGATTTTGAGTCAAACAAAGTTACAACAAAATAAAGACGACAATTAAATTAAGGTTTTGGACTATTTAAGTCAATAATGAAGTAAATGTGACACTGATCAAGTGAATTCCTCATGGTCAGATATTCTTGATTCCACTGCAGCAAAATACTTAGTAATAACAATGTAATTTCATTTCTATTCTTAAATAAATAAAAAGATTACTATTAAAAATTACTAATTATTAATTATTAATTACTAGAAAAACGCCAAATAAAATAATTTGTTAGTGGTTTTAGACACACTGGACACAGCTGGAGACATATAATGGCAAATCGAGACCAAAGAGACTGAAGAAGCATTTTGAGTTATCACTGTGAAATAAACTATAATATTGCAATAAAAAAGTGAATTCAATGCATCCATGCACAAACCTTCATGAATAAATGCATTTATTCAGTCAGTGACTGTTAAAATCAAGCAAAACTAATATCACTAATAATTCTCATGCCATGACAGTCAGAATGAGAATGACAGCGAGACAGTGAAGTGAACACATACCATCACATAGTAGTGCCTAAAAAGTTTCAGTTGAGCCAGATTGATGGCAGCTACAAAGGGAAAGAGAAGCCAAACATTACGATTAAAATCGAGCGAGAGAGGGGATGAGCTGTCCTTTCACCTTTCATGCTTCAATTACTGTGGTTCTCACTCCTGCTGTGAAAATTGTTAAAATCAGAAGGCAATAAAAGAGTATATCTTGGTGCCCTGCGAGGGACACGCAGAAGATGAAAGCAGGAAAAAATGTGATAGACAGCAATGAAACAATGATTATTTGAGAGGGAAAAAAGGAGGTAAGATTTCCTCTTCAGTACAGGATTATACAAATTCATAATACACCAAGGCAACATATAGTGGTGCTGCAGTATACGCATCTCATATTGTGCCTAAATATTTCCACTTCTGTATCTTATAAGCATTCATTTTTCTGCAGTGGCAAAAATTGGGACACAAACAGTGGGGCTAAGGGAATAACCTGCTTCATTTTGAGTACTGATTTCCCTCACACACACCTGCACTTGTTCACACAGCCACTAATATTGGTGGGAAAAAGTTACTGTAAGCATGCTAGCTTGAAAATAGACATCCTCAGGGATCACATCAAAGATTTGAAATAAAAACACCAACACCATCAGGCTACCAACCTGAAAAAGCCTCATTCAGCAAACATCACTACTGCAGAAGCACAAGGCACAGCAGGGAATTGTCATCAAGACCTACGCATCTCTCTTCATTGTGTTTTTTTTTCTTAGCATGAGCTTAAGGGTTTTATATGTAAGATTTAAAGCATTGATCTGAACACTTTTGTGTATTTTAATAAGAGTCAATACAAAGGGAAAAAAAATGTCCTCTAAGCAAAACATACAACAAAAATACAGTTAAGAGATACACCAGTACTTGTGATAGTGCCCAAGCTTTGCATGCATTTTTAAGTACCATTTATGTTACTGGTTAAAATAGATACAAACAGATTAAAAGTAGATCAGATTAAATATATATTGTGTATAAAGGTATACAAGGACAGCTTGAGGGAGAAAAAAAACAGTCAACTGAAGAGGATGGGTTCATGTAGTGGTTATACTGAGTTATATTGTACGTGTGTGAATGTGACTAATCTTATCTATATCAGCTAAAAAAATATTACGTTTAATAAGGTGTTAAAGGTTAGTTAGGCCTATGTTTTTATCAATTCAGTATTAGAAAGCATCTAGATATATTACCATTGAAAATATGGGAGGTTGGTAAGATTTAATTTACTTATTTATTTGTCTTTGAAAGAAGTCTCTTATGCTGAATTTTCTGATTTTCAGCAGTCATTGCTACAGTCTTTAGTGTCACATGATCCTTCAGAAATCATTCTAATATGCTGATTTGGTGTTCAAGAAACATTTCTTATTGTTATCAATGTTGAAAACATGCTGCTCAATATTCTTGTATACAAAAAAATAAATAAATAAAAAATGTAAAATTTTCAACAGTAGTATAAACACAGAAAGGCTTCAGCAAATAAGAAATGTAGAAAGATCAGGGCTCCGAACTGCGACCACTTTTTTCTTCCGGTGCGAATACATTTTGTGAGCGGTCGCACCGTTTATCAGCTCTGACCAATAATTGAGCGCAGCACAAAGCAAGCAAACTGGCCCGAGCTCAGAACAGGTTTACTCAGGAACCAGTGTTGATCTCGCGACACTGTTACAGCACAACGCTGCGAGATCCAGAGAGAAGCGTTTGAATTCGCCGCAAAATGAATAAGGTTGCTGCGAGATCTAGAGAATTCTCTGTTATAAACTGATCAAACAGCGCTGACATAGAAAACCAGAAGTAGTAACGCTAACTGTAACCATGGTTTTGTGAAAGAAAGAGTTGGATGTCATTACATTATTCATTTCAGGGTTTGTATAACCTTTTGAGAGAGAAATTCAAGCAGGCTTTCAAGTAGGGATGCACCAATACCACTTTTTCCAGTACTCGCACAATACCGATACTTTTATTTTTGGTACTTGCCGATACCGAGTGCCAATACTGATATTTTTATTGCATTTGTACATTTTTTAAATATTGGGTACAGAAACCAAAAGAGTATGTATAATGTTAGTTGGTTAACTTCATTTATCAAATAGATAGTCAAACCAACATTTATTCAGACACCTTCAACATTTCTCACATTATCACAGTTTATTCGCTATAGTTTAGAAAATGGTAATAAAATATGACAAGAACTCATATTTTAAACTGTGTTAAACTGTGTCAGAACAAATTCAGCTTGATAATGTTAGATAACTTTGATAGAAAGGTATATAATGGATTACAATCAACCAAAAATTATTCAGACAGCTGTTAGTATGACAGTATTTACACAACTATCA